GTAAATGTATAATTCTTTTCTGCTTCATCTCTAAAGGAGGAGGAATCTATGCTGCTGGCTTAGGGGCATCTTCCAGTGTCTTTGCTATGGGCTTCATTCCCCTCTTCATGAGCTTAGGGGATGTATACTATCGTTAATGAGAACTATGTGCACTCGCCTAAGGGAGAACAGACCAATCTGAATTCCCAGATTCATTCCTCTTGTTGGACTGTTCTTGGGAGCTTGAATATGGATAGAGTCTTTATACTGAATATCCCATTAGGGATACAACAGTGTATTTTCCACAAAGTCCTATTGCTACTCAACTTCAGCTGGTGTCTTAAATGTGCTAGAAGGGGAGATCCTCCAAGGGAATTACTATGAGCACAGGGAACTCAGTTTAACAGGGTAGATAAGACTCTAGCAGGAATATGGTAGGGATACTGCTGCAAAATGTATGGGGCATCAGATTGGATGATCCAAGTGGTCTTTTCTGACCCAATCTGTCTGACTTTAGGAATCCCCATTACAGAAACAGACATGCTAATCAATGAAGCAGGGGTATTATGCTAGTAAAATGCAAAACAAGCTTCCTTGAGCTGTAGGGAAACAGCCTTACTACAGAACATGGACCAATGACCTAGCTGCAAAACCAGTTTTTCCTCAGCCTCATTGGCTAGAATAAAGTTTTCCCAGTTATCCTGTCTGTCCTTAAATTCTATGACTCTAAAATGTCTCTCAAAGCCCTTGGTGCCAGAACTAAAAATCCAAACTCAGTTCCATTAACAAAAGAATTTGTCCAGCATTTTCCTGCATGGTAATGAGACATCTTTATCACTTTCCATCTAGCCTCTTCTACCAATGTCACAGCGTAAGGAGAATCTTCTCTGCTAATTTAATCAACTCAGCATGAAAGCAGAGAAGAGAATTCAGCAACAAATACTGTAAACAGACAACAAAACTCATCTACATCTGACAGATGGGTACATGGATTAGCAGATAGCAAGATATTTTAGCTGCAGAGATATTTAACAGCGGGATATTGGTCTGGTTCTTCAGCTAAGGGAGACTGGAACTAGCATGGTAGTCATAATGATGTAGCGTGACACAATGTTGTTCTTAAGCTCACAGGGAAGGCAGCACTGCCCTGGCATTGCACTTTTGATAAAGACAGTGGTGCCTTTGAAGCTTCATGAATGGTGAAGACAGCACTGTCCCTGGCAGCATGCTCTGAGCAATGGCTGTGATTATCCTATCACGGCATTCTCAGCAAAAGCAGTGGTTACTCCTGGTGCCAAAGGCAGTGTGGCTCATGGCGCTACCATGAAGGTAAAATTGCTCCAGCACTGTGTTTTTGGCAAAGGCTGCATGTGAGCTTCTGGCTTCCCACCTCGACCATAAAGCAGTTTTAAATCTTAATTTTGGCTTATGCTGTGTACAGCCAATTAGCCCCCCATTTCCTTTAACCTTCAAACTCGCTGAACAAGCAGTTTACTTTCATAGCTTCAATTCCATTCTTGATCTTCTCTTCACTCAACCAAAATTCCTCTCGACAAGGCTTCTGACCAATTTGTGGCTGGCCTCTGCAACATTCTCATCCTCTGTTTGCCTGTTTTGCTATTAGCTGCCCTTTACAAATAGAATGTCCTTCCTGAGGTGACCCACCAGGAGCTACCCACTCCATATTCAGGTGCTTCAACAAACCAGCTGATTAACTGATCTATTTCACTTATTTATCCTATGAGTGATCTGTTTATTGTGAAGGAGTCAATTGTCACAGGGGAGGGAAATAAGAATACTGGAACTGAAGTGGGGTATGAGTGTGAAGGTATATAAGAACACTGTGTGGGGGTGAATTTTCTGTGTTTAAATTAAATACAAATAACCAAAACAACACAGACAAACATGTAGCAGAGAAGTCGTGTTCCTATCCTGCCCCGGCTCACTCTGCTTGTATGTTGTACCTTTTTCCTCCTTGGTACATTGTGTTCTTTTCCTCTTCGTTATGTCTGTCCCCGTCTTCGGGGCAGGGACTTTGTCTTCCTCTGTGTTTGGAAAGTGCATACCACATTTTGGGCACTGAGGCAATAGAAGGACATACATAACAGACACCCCCTTCTTCGGTGACCTCAAAGTTAATGGACATTTTTTTGTCAGACTGATTAATTTGCTATGCTCCATTTGACCTCTTTGCAGCTATGTGACTTCCCCAGTACAGCAGAGAGGCCATGTCTACACTACGAAATGAGGTCAAATTTATAGAAAGTGGTTTTGTAGAAAGCATTTTTATACAGTCGATTGTGTGTGTCCCCACACAAATGTTCTAAGTGCATTTAGTCGGCGGAGTGTGTCCACAGTACCGAGGCAACCATCGACTTCCAGAGTGTTGCACTGTGGGTAGCTATCCCACAGTTCCTGCAGTCTCCGCCGCCCATTTGAATTCTGGGTAGAAATCCCAATGCCTGATGGGGCAAAAACATTGTCGCGGGTGGTTCTGAGTACATATTGTCAGGCCTCTCCCTCCCTCCCTCCATGAAAGCAACGGCAGACAATTGTTTCGTGCCTTTTTTCCTGGGTTACAAGTGCAGACGCCATACCACGGCAAGCATGGAGCCCGCTCAGCTCACCGTCACCATATATCTCCTGGGTGCTGGCAGATGCAGTACTGCATTGCTACACAGCAGCAGCTCATTGCCTTTTGGCAGCAGACAGTACAGTATGACTGGGAGCCATCCTCGTCGTACTCCAGGGTGCTCTTTTAGCCGACCTTGGTAAGGTCGGTCAGGGGCACCTGGGCAAACATGGGAATGACTCAGTCAGGTCATTTCCCTTTTAAGTTTTGTCTCATGGCGATTCAATCCTGCCAGCAGTCCTACTGCACCGTCTTCCACCGAGCACCCAGGAGATGACGATGGCCAGCAGTCGTACTGCACCGTCTGCTGCCAGCAAGATGTATAAAGATAGATGAAGTGAATCAAAACAAGAAATAGACCAGATTTGTTTTGTATTCATTTTCTCCTCCCTCCCTCCGTGAAATCAACGGCCTGCTAAACCCAGGGTTTTGAGTTCTATCCTTGAGGAGGCCATTCTGTTTCTCCTTGATGCAAAGCCACCCCCTTTGTTGATTTTAATTCTCTGTAAGCCAACCCTGTAAGCCATGTTGTCAGTCGCCTCTCCCTCCGTCACAGCAACGGCAGACAATCGTTTCACGCCCTTTTCCCTGGATTGCCTGAGCAGACGCCATAGTACAGCAAACATGGAGCCCGTTCAGCTCTCCGCAGCAGTTATGACCATTGTAAACACCTCGCGCATTATCATGCAGTTTATGCAGAACCAGCACCTGAAAAACCAGGCGAGGAGGCGACAGCAGCTCGGTGATGAGGACATGAACACAGATTTCTCTAAAACCGCGGTTCCCAGCAATTTGGAGATCATGGTGTTACTGGGGCAGGCTCATGCCATGGAATGCCGATTCTGGGCCTGGGAAACAAGCACAGAGTGGTGGGACCGCATAGTGTTGCGGGTTTGGATGATTCCTAGTGGCTCCAAAATTTTCACATGTGTAGGGCACTTTTATGGAACTTTGTGACTTGCTTTCCCCTGCCCTGAAGCACAAGAATACCAAGAGGAGAGCAGCCCTCACAGTTCTCAAGCGAGTGGCGATAGCCCCGTGGAAGCTTTCAACGCTAGACAGCTACCGGTCAGTCGGTAATCAATTTGGAGTGGGCAAATCTACTGTGGGGGTTGCTGTGATGCAAGTAGCCAACACAATCATTGAGCTGCTGCTATCAAAGATAGTGACTCTGGGAAATGTGCAGGTCATACTAGATGGCTTTGCTGCAATGGGATTCCCTAACTGTGGTGCGGCTAGATGGAACGCATAGCCCTATCTTGGGACTGGACCACCAGGGCAGCCAGTACATAAACCACAAGGGGTACTTTTCAGTGGTGCTGCAAGCACTGGTGGATCACAAGAGACGTTTCACCAACATCAACGTGGGATGGCTGGGAAAGGTTCATGATGCTTGCATCTTCAGGAACTCTGGTCTGTTTAAATGGCTGCAGGAAGCTACTTCCCAGTGCAGAAAATAACTGTTGGGGATGTTGAAATGCCTATAGTTATCCTTGGGGACCCAGCCTACCCCTTAATGCCCTGGCTCATGAAGCCGTACACAGGCACCCTGGACAGTAGTAAGGAGCTGTTCAACTATAGGCTGAGCAAGTGCAGAATGGTGGTAGAGTGTGCATTTGGACGTTTAAAGGGTCGCTGGTGCAGTTTACTGACTCGCTCAGACCTCAGCGAAACCAATATTCCCATTGTTATTGCTGCTTGCTGTGTGCTCCACAATCTCTGTGAGAGTAAGGGGGTGACATTTATGGCAGGGTGGGAGGTTGAGGCAAATTGCCTGGCTGCTGAATATGCGCAGCCAGACACCAGGACGGTTAGAAGAGCACAGCAGGAAGCGCTGCACATCAGAGAAGCTTTGAAAACCAGTTTCATGACTGGCCAGGGTACTGTGTGACACTTCTGTTTGTTTCTCCTTGATGAAAACCCACCCCCTTGGTTGTCTCTAAATTCCCTGTAAGCCACGTGCCCTCTCCCCTTCGATCACAGCTTGCTTGCAAAGGAAATAAAGTCACTATCATTTAAAAAACATGTATTCTTTATTAATTGATTATAAAAATAGGGAGATAGTTCACAAGGTAGCCCGGGTGGGATGTGGGAGGAGGGTAGGAGGGAAGGAAAAGGCCACTTTAAAACTTCTTGAATGACAGCCTTCTGTTGCTTGGGCTGTCTACTGGGGTGGAGTGGTTGGGTGCCCGGAGCCTCCCCCACCGTGTTTTTGGGCGTCTGGGTAAGGAGGCTATGGAACTTGGGGAGGAGGGAGGGCAGTTAAACAGGGGCTGCAGTGGCAGTCTGTGATCCTGCTGCCGTTCATGAACCTCCACCAGATACTGGAGCATATCCATTTGATCCCACAGTAGCCCCAGCATTGCCTCATGCCTCCTCTGATCTTCCTGCCACCACCTCTCCTCACGTTCATCGGCCACTTTGCTGTACTCTGCTATTGTATCCCTCCACACATTCTGCTGAGCTCTGTCAGTGCCAGACGACTGCATGAGCTCAGAGAACATTTCATCGCGCGTGTGTTTTTTTTCACCGCCTTATCTGAGATAGCCTTTGGGACGGAGGAGGGAGGCTTGAAACATTTGCAGCTGCTGGAGGAAAAAAAGGGAGTGAAGTATTTTAAAAGATACATTTTACAGAACAATGGCTATACTCTTTCACAGTGAACAACACTATTCACATTACACAGAACATGTGATTTTGGTACAAGGTCGCATTTTGCATCTTATATTGAGTGCCTGCGGCTTTGGTGTTAGAGATCACACACGCAGTGCCAGGCAACAGAATTCGGCTTGCAGGCGGCCATGGTAAGCCACAGTCTTTCGGCTTCTGCAACCTTCATAATAGCAGCGCCCTCTTCTCCCATACCAAGCAAAGCACGTTGAGTTGGCCATTTAGTGCTGCGGTTTTCCTGTTAACGTGCAGCAGCAAAAACCAAACTAACCCCCCCCAGATCCAACTCTCTGGGATCATCTGTTTACCCCTCCCTGCACCGTGTGGCTGGTATCAGGGAAGATCCCTGCTAGCCAAACACGAACAGCTCAGCACCAATCCCCCGCCCACCCCCACGTGGCTAACTGTGGGGAGGGTTTCTTTTCAGCCACAGGCAAGTAGGAACGTCCCCTTAATTAAATTCCCCTATTTCAATCAGGTTACCATGAATGATATCACTCTCCTGAGGATGACACAGAGAGATAAAGAATGGATGTTGCTTGAATGCCAGCAAACACCAGGACCATACGCTGCCAGGCTTTGTCATGCAATGATACCAGATTACTTGCTACTAGCATGGCGTGGTAAAGTGTCCTACCATGGAAGACAGAATAAGGCTGCTCTCCCCAGAAACCTTCTGCAAAGGCTTTTAGAGTACCTCCAGGAGAGCTTCATGGAGATGTCCCTGGAGGATTTCCACTCCATCCCCAGACACGTTAACAGACTTTTCCAGTAGCTGTACTGGCCACGAATGCATCCCAAGTCCTCAGGGCTACTTAATCATTAAAAACGCTTGCTTTTATAACGTGTATTATATTTAAAAAGGTACACTCACCAGAGGTCCCTTCTCCGGCTTTGTTGGGTTGGGAGGGTGTTTCAGTCAGGGTAATAAAAAGATCCTGGCTGTCGGGGAGAACAGTGTGCGGTGTGCTCTCCTCAAGCTCGTCATCCTCCTCCTCATCTTCCCCATCCACAAAATCCTGAGGCATGGCGGAGAGTACCCCATCATCAGAGTCCACGGACAGGGGTGGGGTAGTGGTGGCGGCCCCCTCTAGAATTGCATGCAGCTCAGCGTAGAAGTGGCATGTCTGGGGCTTTGTCCTGGAGGGTGCGTTTGATTCTCTGGTTTTCTGGTATGCTTGTCTGAGCTCCTTCAGTTTCACGCAGCACTGTGTTGCATCCCTGCTGTAGCCTCTGTCCCTCATGGCCTCAGAGATTTTTTTGAAATGTTTTGGCATTTTGTCTTTTGGAACGTAGTTCTGATAGCACGGATTCCTCTTCCCATACAGTGATCAGATCTAGTACCTCCCGTTCGGTCCATGCTGGAGCTCTTTTTCGATTCCGGGACTGCATGGTCACCTGTGCCGATGAGCTCGCCTGGCCAAACAGGAAATGAGATTCAAAAGTTCCCGGGGCTTTTCCTGTACACCTGGCCAGTGCATCAGAGTTCAGAGTGCTGTCCAGAGCGGCCACAATGGTGCACTGTGGGATAGCTCCCGGAGGCCAATACCTTTGAATTGTGTCCACACTAACCCTAATTCGAAATGGCGATGTCGATTTCAGCGCTAATCTCATTGGGGAGGAGTACAGAAATTGGTTTTAAGAGCCCTTTATGTAGAAAAAAATGGCTTAGTTGAGTGGATGGGTGCAGGATTAATTTGATTTAACGCTGCTAAATCCGACATAAACTCATAGTGTAGACCAGGCCAGAGACTGTGCAGCTCCCAATGGGCAGAAGGATTTGCATGTAATGTTGTTAGAGTGATTTCCCTAAACTCAGCTCTATTTTCCATCTGTTGTGTGCTATTACTTTCACAGGACACACAAGGAGGTGAGATGTTGGCCGGGCACTACAGAAATCTCTTGGGTCACCACGCTGAGCACTAGATAAAAGAACCCTACTTAGTCCAACAGAAAGATACTGTTTTGTGTGTGAGAACTCTTTTCAAATTGGGTTATTTTTGCCTTAAAGCCCCAGTGATTCATTATAGGATTCTGCAGTGAATGATTTTGGGCTTTGATGGCTGAGCTCCATTCAGATTTAACACAGCACATGCAGCATACACTGCCAAAAGATGATAGTTCTTCATGTACAGTAGGTCTCCTAGGAGATGATACGTACAGGGCCAGCATAGCAGAGGGGTAGCATTGGGCTGCCTCTATGGCTCCCGAGGACGGTGATATACTGTTACAGTGCAAACATCTGTAAAGCACAGGGCATTCCTGAGGGGGGGTCAGCAGTTGACTCTCTGATACTGAGAGGTAGGTGAACCCCTCTGATCGCTCAGTGGAATTGTACCTCAAATGCCAGGTGACTTTTATAGTCAAATCATAAGCATTAGTCAAATAGCTTGCATTTCTGTCGTGTCTCTCATCCCCAGCTTTTGGCACAGCCTCACTTAGATGAGCAGCTCTTACTCACGCACACAGCCCCTTAGTCCCCCCCTCCGGATTCCAATGGGACTATACACATGAGTAAAGAGTACTTGCCCCAGCAGAGGTTTGCAGGAGCAGGTGCTTTTTGTACAGTACAGTAGTACGACGCTACTATTGAAATGCAGACATATCTGGTGAAGACGTCCTCATCACCTGGCCAGCACATAATACACTGCGCAATACAGGCAGGAAAGGAAATGCAGCAAACCTCTACTACTGCATGAAATGCCATGGGATCATTAATGCACACACAGACAGGCCAGAAAGGAGCTCAGTTTTTAAGATGTTCTCAAAAAACTCCAGCTCTGCATGACATTCAATTTATCTGTTTCAGATAATGAAGGATTAAAAGCTGAATAAACCCCACTGGGATATGAGCTTCTGGTTCCACAAAGTCTCAGTATTCCTATCCTCAGCTCACTCCCTTAAAACACCTTCAGGCTATCACACCTGTTAACCAACCAGGCATCAAGTCGAGGCTATGCTATAACATGATCTTGCTTCTAATGCCTTGTTATTGAAAGACATTGCAGGACAAATTCTGGCAATTCTGGCATTCTTCAGGACCAGATTCTCCATTGCCCTGCATCTTATATAGTCATTTACACCAATGGCAAGTGGGCCTAAAAGGCTACCAAATTGGAAAGGTAATAATGATCCATACCTACTTTGCACTAATGTACTTGATGACACATGGGGCAGGGCAACCGAAAACCTAGCCTTCAGTGGCTATTCAGTCCCAACTTTTTGACTTCACTGAGAGTTATGCCTGAATAAGCACAAAGCAAAAACTAAGGCAGGATTTCAGAATTTAATTCAGAGTGCTGAAAACTGAGCCAGAGAAAGAGCTGGTTTCAGCAGGTGCATCTCAAAGCCTGCAAAGCCCTATCCAGAGATCAGTTTTCAAGCATTATGGAGCTATGCGCTGCAGCTGACTCTCACATACAAAATGCCCCATCATCTTTTCCATGTGCACAACTTAATACCAATCAAAGGTAAGTGGCAGGAAGCGTTAATGTGTAGGGATGTAATAAATATGGTTAGGTAACCTAGTGAGCATTATGGGGGGCTGTAAGGGCTTATATATAAAAAGCTCTAAAAAGACCACAAAAATACCTAAAATAACCCCATTCCCCCTTCACTGTGCAACAGCAGCCCTGTGCTACAGACACGCTATCCCCCATGTACTGTAAGAGGGTAAAATTAATAATGAATATAGGGTTGGATGTCTGTGGGTCAGAATGTGCTATCCTGGCACCTGCCCCCTTATTGGCTAGTAGCAGCATTGCAGTATTCCACATAGGTGTGGCAGACATCATGGGTAGGATGACATGAACCAAACATTTATTTCTAAATTACTGCTAGGTAAAAAAGCAAAGCTCCCAATGTTGCAGAAGTCGAGACAGGTCCAAACTGCAGAATTTGGATCCAGATCTGAACTTCTTCAAATTTTGGATGGCTGGGGCTGGGAGTTTAGTTTGAGCCCACCTCTGGGGAGAAGTTTGTTCAGAATCAGTCTGATAATATCCTGGTCACTGGTGCCATTGGTCATCAGACACAAGGTATCACCACTGTTGCCCTTGTTGTACCTTAGCTAAAATAGTGGGGCTAGGAGTGGTGGCAACACCAGATTTTTCTCTCTCTTTTAAATAGGAGGAAGAAGAAAAGTGTTAGACTGGGTGGAGTCTGGGGCAAGTAGGGGTGGGTTCATAGTAAGAACCGCCTGTATGGGAGGATGAAGAAGCTGACCTCCACCACAAGTATGTCTCCCGTTTTCACTAAAGCACGTTACATTTATGTTATTTATAGATTTAGATTTATGACAAAATATACTTAAAATGTGCCTGTCCATTACTCTAGGCACTTTTGGCAGATATTTAGGAGAACAATCCAACTAAGATCCACAGCTAACCCACAACACTACTCAAACCCCAGCCAAAAGCTTCATCCAAGCGAACCAAACATCAGCCTTCCTCAGGCGCTCTGGGCTGATGACAGGGCTCTCAGCCTCTTTAGTGGCTCCAGAATTGCTCTTCAGAGACAGCACGCCTGCTTGCTTACTGATTTTGAAGCAGCTCTGATGTGCTTTGCGGAGGATTTCACAGCTCTTCTTGATGAGAATGGCCCACGGGAAGCAGGGCTTGGAGGATGGGGGAGCTATGGAGCAAAAATGGAAGGGGGAAAAATATGTGTGAGTTACGAAAGGGACATAGATAACAGCTTGGGGAAGGCTGCTATGTCATTTCACAATTGAAAGAAATGAATCTGTTTTTCCTAGCAATTCAGAAAAAGGAGGATGAAAAAATTGTTTAGGTTTATAAAATGTTAACTGGATTGGTGGTATTTATACTGCACTATTTAGCTAATGGTCCCACAAAATACTACAGAGTTTGAGGTTTTCATTCTTTGTAGGAAATCAATGTTCTGGTTAATGGAGAGATTGTGGCACTTGCTATCTGGGAAGTGCCAAGTCTCTATAAATAAGGCAATAGAAGCCAAAAATGATCAGTAGTACAAGAGGGAAAATCCATTCCTTGCCTTGACTTGAAAACCACTGCCCCCACACTATTTCAGTCTCTGTTCCCTCCACATCTCAGATGATACACATGAGTCCTGAACTGCAAAGTACCACCCATTTTTCAGTCCTTGGAACATGACCACAGCTCTTTCAATGCACCTCTGTCTTGTCCTACAGCATATTCTACTAGCCAGTCCTTGTTTACGAAGGGAAATTGGGAAGTCTATGATTTTCTTTTCAGTTGACATTCATTTACCCTCCCAGTTTCTTTTCTCTCTGACCACTTGGGAAAAAATGGCTGAAATAAAAGATTAATGTGTTTATCTCCTATATTACTAAGCCCCCAAAGGCTTGAGTCGGTTCACACCAGATTTACATCTGTGTAACTCCATTTATTTCACTGGACTTTCTACTGATCTACACCAATGTAAGTGGAAAATCAGGCTGTTATATTTTAACATATATTCCTCATTTAAAAAAAACAGTTTCAGGAGTTAAAAATAAACTAGTCTCACCCTCCTCCTTCCATCTCCCAGCCCTGGTGATTTGTATTATAACTTCAGGCCCAAATCATCAACAATTGCTACTGATTTTGGGTGCCTCAATTTTTGGATCCCCAGGTGGGGACATTTTAAAACCTGATTTTCTAAAATTCTGAAGTCAGTGGCAGCTGGACATGCTCAGCACCTCTGAAGAATTAAGCTTAAAATGTCTCAAATGGAGGCACCCCAAAAGAATGGTCCCTTTTGATAACTGGGGCCCTAGTGTCTGGTACCAAGTTCCAGCTGAGAGGAGGGGAATACCCTCAACTACCAATGAAAGCAGCTGAGACCTTCTGCAGCTGCTTTTGTGTGGCTATGGGGGGACAAACACAGCCAAGGGCAGGACTGCCCCTTCAGAAGCCATGCTTGCAGTGGGAAGAAGAAGCCAGAACAGCCACATACAGGAAATCATTTGTGCAGAATGACTAAATCCTCTGTTGACTTGAAAAGAAAAGGAGTACTTGTGGCACCTTAGAGACTAACCAATTTATTTGAGCATGAGCTTTCGTGAGCTACAGCTCACTTCATCAGATGTTTACCGTGGAAACTGCAGCAGACTTTATATACACACAGAGAATATGAAACAATACCTCCTCCCACCCCACTGTCCTGCTGGTAATAGCTTATCTAAAGTGATCAACAGGTGGGCCATTTCCAGCACAAATCCAGGTTTTCTCACCCTCCACCCCCCACACAAATTCACTCTCCTGCTGGTGCTAGCCCATCCAAAGTGACAACTCTTTACATAATCAAGTAGGGCTATTTCCTGCATAGATCAAGGTTTTCTCACATCCCCCCCACCCCCATACACACACAAACTCACTCTCCTGCTGGTAATAGCTCATCTAAACTGACCACTCTCCAAGTTTAAATCCAAGTTAAACTAGAACATCTGGGGGGGGGGGGGGGGTAGGAAAAAAAAAGAAGAAACAGGCTACCTTGCATAATGACTTAGCCACTCCCAGTCTCTATTTAAGCCTAAATTAATAGTATCCAATTTGCAAATGAATTCCAATTCAGCAGTTTCTCGCTGGAGTCTGGATTTGAAGTTTTTTTGTTTTAAGATAGCGACCTTCATGTCTGTGATTGCGTGACCAGAGAGATTGAAGTGTTCTCCGACTGGTTTATGAATGTTATAATTCTTGACATCTGATTTGTGTCCATTTATTCTTTTACGTAGAGACTGTCCAGTTTGACCAATGTACATGGCAGAGGGGCATTGCTGGCACATGATGGCATATATCACATTGGTGGATGTGCAGGTGAACGAGCCTCTGATAGTGTGGCTGATG